AAACTGCATTGTATGCTCAATAAGAACAAAGAATCCATTTGAGAAATCTGGCTCAAGCTGTTGTACTCAGACTGAGGCTCTTAAAAAGATGGCCCAGAAGCATAAGCAGCACTGAAAGCATGATCTGGGAGTCCAGCTCTGGGCAGCCATTCACAGGATTGATTGCTTCAAAAATGGCTCAAGTCCAAACCCCAATACAATCATCACAAACTTATTACTTTTACAAAACATTTGATAAAAGCTCTTTGATACTATCTGATGAAAATAATGATGCCAATAACAGCAGTAGAATTGACTTCTGCAAAAATAATGGGATTTTTATTTGGTAGTGATTTAGAAGGAAAATGGAGTTCTAGAAACTCTAAACCCCTTGGTTGAGGAAAAAAATTATATCAATATTTGCTCTTTCCTTCCTTCCTTCCTTCATTCCTTCCTTCCTTCTTTCCTTCATCCTTCATTCTTTTCCTCCTACTCTCCCTCCTCCCTTCCTTCATTTTTCTCCCTTCTTTCCTCCCTCCCTCCCTTCTTCCTTTCTTCTTTCTTTCTTTCTTTCCTTTCCTTCCTTCTTCCATCCTTTCTTTTCTCTTCCCTTCCTCCCTGCCTTCTTCCTTTTCTTTACTTCTTTCCATCTCTGCTTCTTTTTTTTCTTCCTTCCTCTCTTCTGCACCCCTTTATGTCCTCCTTCAATTTTATCCTTTCTCCATCTTCCTCTTCCTTCCCCTTTTCTTCACTTCCAATGCTCCCATTACTGATGTTAATCTTCTTGGATTAAAATCAGTACCCTCTTCAAAGAGAGGTTTTCTTTCAATGGGCAAAGGTTGCCTTGTCAAGAAAGAAGAAAAAAAAAGTATATGCCTAAAAGTTGGGAAGTACCCAATTAGAGTAGATTATTCCTTATGGGGTTAGGTAAGGGGACAAAGAAGAACCTGATGCCTATGATATAGCCAGAGCCTTTTGGGGAGGACAGCAAGGTCATTGATCCAGAAATGTTTTTTTTTTTTCTCACTGCCTGGATATTTCAATGAAAGACGCTGGGTAATGTTCTGGAGTGTTCACCTTCCATTCTAATTTCTAGTCTTAACAGATCTATATCTACTACTCTTCCTGGTCTCAACTCCAAAGAACAAGATACCCTTCCGGGATAAGCTCATCACTTCCTCCCAGGATAAACTCATCACTTCTAAACTCACCACCATGGTGCTAACTCGAGCCTTGATGTCACTCTCCTTCAGCATCCTCTCCTCTTTGATTATAAAGCTTGAGGGTAGAGTACCAAATTCCTCCCAATGCTTTCCTTTACAGAAGATTGAACCCATATGCTCAGATCACTGCACTGTTCAGCTGCTGGTGTTCTTGGTTTCAATTCCATGGAACAATTTACTCCCATGATACCTTGCATTCTATGACACAGGAAAGAATTACAATCTTGCAATTAACAAAAGCCATTTGTAAAATGGTCTTTCTGCCTCCATCTCCCCCATTAGACTATCCTCCCCTCAGCTGCCAAACTGATTTGTAAATACTGGTGGCTCCCTATCACCTCCAGGATTAAATATGAACTCCTTTTGGCATTTACAGCTGCCCTTCCTAACATGACCTTTTCCTCTATTTCCAGTCTTCTTATACTTGACTCCCTCTATGAACTCTACTGTCCAGCTACCCTGGGCTTCTTGCTGATTTCCTCACACAATCCACCACCCTCCTCTCTTCCCTTGAGCTGGCTATCCCCATGCCTGCAATGCTCTCCCTCCTTTTACCTTCCTAGACTTTTTTTCAAGACTCAATTCAAATCTGACCTCCTAACTCAGGCCCTCCCAGGTGTCTAGGGCCTTGCCTCCCCTTTCAATGCTTTCCCTCTGAGATTTCCTTCCTTCTACTCTGCAGATACCATGGATGCACCAAGTTATTTACTTGCTGTCTCCTCCATTAGAAGGCTAGCTCCTTGAAGACATGGATTGTGTTTTTTATTTACTTTTTTTCCACCTTTCTTTGTATCCTCAGCACTTAGAATAATGTACAGAATATAATAAGAGCTTAATAAATGTGTGTTAACTAGCCTAGTGACAAACACAAATGAGTTGTTGCTTGGACTTCACTCCAGCCATCAGCCTGTAATCCTGTGAGCATAAGTTTTTGCCCACCCACATTTCAAGAAATTCAGTTTTAAAGACCAGACCTTAACTCACTATAATCCTTCCTTCCACCTCTTTACTCTGCATGCAAAAACCCATCTAACCAATGCATTCCCAAATGCTATGACTTTCAAGATCATTCAAAACCAACTTCTACGCATGCATTGAACCATTGTGACAAGGTGTTCAAGTCCAGCCTTTCAGTTCAGAAGCCATCTGAGTATCCTGAAATATAGCCCTTCCTTCCCCCTCTCATTCTCCAAAGGTGACCCCAATGATGTCATGTTTTGGGAATTAAAGGAAGAATCTTTTTGGTAACCAGGAGATGTCACATCGGTGAAGTATGAAGCCTTTCTTAACATCAATGCCTTTCATTTTAAGTAGACCCAAAATATAAAAACCTAGATTCATCAGGTAGATGAACAATAAGGTTATCCACCATTCACATTACAAAGGATTCTTCCCTGCCTGAAGGGTTATCAGGCTCTGCCTTGTTCTTCATTCTGACACTGCTTTTCTTGGACTGCTAGCAAGATCACTGGATTTATGGTCAGAGAATCTCAGCTACTTATGCCCATTATGAACCTGACCTCTCTTTGTGCCTCAGTTTCCATGGTCTCAACTGTAAAATGAGGCAATTAAACTGTTTTCCACAAGGTCTTCTCTAGCTCCAGATCTTATGATTCTAGTCTACACTTTCTACCTCCTTTTTTCTTCCTTTCAAGTTTGGAGGCCAAACACCAGTTTGGACGTTTGTGCTCAGATCCACCTCCTACTTGTTTGTTAACTCTGTCCAGATCTGTCCTAAGGACACTGAAGCCAGACAGCCTACCAGAAACTTAACCACAAAGCCTTTGCCTGATATTATCTGACAGCCCAGTCTCTGACTTCTCCTTTTCCTTCTCCATTTAAGGCACTTTACATAACCACCTCAAAGTGACCAAATTGTCCCTGCCTTCCACTGCCCCCCTTCTTAGGAGCTCCTTCTTCCTTCTGGCCTAGCCCTTTGATGTCTTTGCAAGATTTTGCTCTCCACGCCTCACTCATGGATTGGCCCAACCAGACTTATCAGGCTTATTGCCCATCAGGTTTGACAGTGCCCTGAAGTCAGTAGAAACACCTAGTCAGGCTTTCATTTAGGATAGGTGCCTGTTCATTCACAGCTGCCTTCTCTATAGCTTCCTGTTATAACCTGAGCACCTAGTTGCCCACTTGCATTTCAGATATGATTTCATTTACAAACTTTTTTTTTTCCTAAACAAATCAGCAGCACAAAGTTACTTACCCAGGTGAGTGATGAACTTGGAAATAGACTAAATTTAGATGTCATTGGAAAAATGCCAATGTTAGGCCTTTGATTTTAGACTTGATCGATGATTTCAAAAAAATCATTCACAGGTTGTCAAAAGGCTTTATCAGAATGTGGTGGCTGCAATATACATAGCCCTTGCTTTCTGGATCATGGATTGATTTGTCATGACTTCCCTCTGAAGGACCATACCCCAAGATCACCATAACAAAAGTGTTTTGTTATATTTTAGTGTTGTTTCATTGTTGATTTGGTTTCATTTTTAAATACACTAAAGGCAAAGTTATTGTCCCCCAACTAGAGTCATGTCAAGCTTTTGTCTTTTGTTTTGTCTTTCTTCCTTTAGTTTGATTTAGTCTCATGTAATTAGAATGTGTGCAACTGTTGTAATCGGACACATTTTGAATGAAAGTCTACAGTTTCAAATGAATGCTAAGGAGCATAAATCTATCTTTAGATTCTACCTTGGAAAATGGGTGTATGCACACCTGAATTACAGAGTCTGATTCTGCATGTGTGCTGTAGAAAAAAATGATAAAGTTTTCTGGTTAATTTAATTAGATGAGTGAGGTTGGCCAACAAACAAATGTGCAACTGAAATCCATTTATTCAAAATAACCACAAAGGCAAACAAGACCTATTTAATGATAAATTTGGAGTCTAGTGAATTCTAATGATTTCCTCTAATAAATTTGAAATCTTTACTGAGATTGGCTACATTTAAAGTTGAATTGGTAAGGAGTGATATTCACTAAGTGAAAATAAAAAAAATTGAAACAAGGCAAAGCCCCTTTTCAGAAGATTTTTTTTAGAAGCTCACTGCATGTAAGATAACAAATTTCCAAGGTTGAACCTAGTACATTTTATTTTTCCAGCATATTTCAGAAGTGAGTCCCCTCAAGAGAATGTACTGTTATCAGTGTAAGTCAGAGCTATGATAGGTACTTTCTAAATTTGCTCAATAGATGCCCAAGGAACAGTCTCTGTTTGGGGAGAAGCTAGTTTGATTCTAAGTCAAAATTTTCTAATAGACAATAAAACATGGACTTCCTCCTTGAACCTCATACAGAGAAGTTGAAACCGTGAGAGAGACTCAAAAGCTTAACTTGCCCCAGTCGCAGTGACAAGAGTAACATGGGAGAAAAAAAAAACAGTGAGCCCAGTATCTGAATATGAAAGAAGAAGAGAAAGAAAGAAACAGTTTCTTTTTTGGGAAGGACCAGGAGACATGTTTCAATGGAGTACTTGACCTTCCTCAATGAGCAGATATTGATCCTTGTCCCAGGCCCCAAAGTCATCATATGAATAGAAAAGTATACATTATATTTTAATACGATGGTATGTCATTGTTGATTAGTCTATGAACACTTTTACAGGCTTATAACCAAGTATACAGAGAAAGGAACTTCTGAAACAAATTGGTACCAATGATGTTTCATGAAATTAAACAATGACTAACATTTCCAACATCCAAAGTTTCTATTTTTGTTTGTTTTTAACTTCAGATACTGGGATGTCTTCTTCTCACCATCAAGGAAAAAACACTGAATGGTACTTACGGAGCTGTAGAGATACCCTTCTCCATTCATTGCAACATAGAGGCTGGCTTTCACTCCCTGGATTGCCACAACCCGGAGTCCCACAGGGATTAGGTTGAAAAGGGCTGAGAAAGATAAATAGAAAGAAAGAAAAGAAAAGAAAATGGCAGATGAACATTCAACATCCCTCACTCAACAAATAATCAATAAGCCTTCATTAACCAATGACTATACATTAATCCTGGGGTGGAGTGTAGAAAGAAAAAAAAAGGAAAGTGAATAGTTCCTGTACTCATAATGCTTACAGTGCATGCAGGGAAGACAATGTGCAAATACATAGGAATATATACTGCTATTTGAAGGGAAAGGGGCTGGAGTGGCTAATCAGGGAAAATCTCATATACAAGGTGAGGTCCAATAAGATAATGTATGTAAAGTGCTTAGCACAATTCCTGACATTTAGTAGGCATTAAATAAATGCTAGCTATCATCATCATCACCATCATGGATGTCATAATTATTGTTCTAAGGTAGCTCTTCAGCTGAGACTTCAAGAAGTAAATGTCTTCTGAGAAATGGAGGTGAGGCTGAATACCAGGCATGTGATCCAGCTAGTACAAAGTCACAGCAAGGAGAAATGGATTGTGATGTGTGAGAAACATCTATACTTCCAGTTTGTCTGGAGCAGCATGCATGTACGAGGGTCTAAAGCTATGGGCCGTGCAGCCAGAAAAGAATGCTGGGCCACGTCGTGAAAAGCAAAATGTAAATGTGAGGCTGAGGCATTTATAGCCAATCATAGAGGAAGCACAGAGTCACCAGGGCTTAGGGCGTCCTGGAGAGCTAAAGATGGAAGAAATGTGAAGGAGAGAAATGTCTTTTCATACCTGGGAAAATTAACTACAAGACTGTTCAAAAAAAAAAAAGAGGAAAGTACATTGGAAATTAAAACCATCCTTACAAAGGGTGCAGGAAATGTTAATGATGGACAGTTCTAGATGGACAGAAAACTGAATGCCAAAGTCCAGAGACCTGCTTTCTTTCTTGTCACAAAGAGCATTTTTCCCAGGAGGAGCAAAATAGATCATAATAATATTGACCCAAAATGAAATAATAAATAAATAATAATAATAACAATAATAATTAATAAATAAAGAGGGAAATTACTTAGAAAGTATCTGAGAGATTCTTCTGAGTAGGAATATTAAAACTAATACATATAATGTGACACTTTCTGATTTACAAAGTCCTCCCTCCCAACTACTCTGGGAGGCAGCTGCTTATATCATTATTATCCCATCGCAGAGATGAGCAAAGTGAGCAGAGAGGTATATAGTTTAATATAATCACAACTCAAGTGGCCCAGACAGGATTTGAATCCAGACATTTGGACCACATGTCTTATACTAATTTCCATACATTATAAAGAAATGAAGACAACTACACAGGGAGGATGAGGAGAAAGAAGGAAGAAAGAAGAGCAGGAGAAGAAAGGAGGAGGAGGATGGAGATGAGGAAAAAAGAAAAGAGGAGAGAAGAAGAAAGAAAAAGAGGAGGGGAAGAAGGAGAAGGAAAAGACACAGGGAGAGGAGAAATAAGTGAAGGAGACAGAGAAAGAAGAAAAGAAGAAGGAGGAAGAAGAGGAGGAGAAAGGGAGGGAAGGAGTGAGGGAAGGAGGAAGGAAAGAAGGAAGAAAGGAAAAGAAGAAAGAAAAAGAAAGAGACAGAGAGAAAGGAAGGAAGAAAGGAAGAAAGAAAGAAAGAAAGAAAGAAAGAAAGAAAGAAAGAAAGAAAGAAAGAAGTAACCCTGTAAAAGTCAAAGTTACTCTATCTCACAACCAATTGGTCAGGAGGGAGTTCAGCTTCCTTGTCTCGTTGGCATGCTGGGCTGGGCTAGGCTGAGCTGGGTTGGTTTGACCACACTCTACACTTTCTGTAGGCCATTTGAAGAATAACCGGGGAGATGGGCCTAGGGCTTAAGCCTGAGGTTGTGGAAGCCCTTCACGTGGGTGAAGTCATCTAGAATGAGAGATCTGCACCTGTAGTTTCAGTGGTGCTGGTCTAACCTGACTAAGACACTGGTGCATCCACAGCTTCCTGAACTCATGAGGACTCACTCAACACCTTCATTCCCGTGAAAAACTTACTAATCAGAAACTTCTTTGATTTCTAGGCCACCAATATTCTGTGACAATCTCTAATGCCCTGAGCTTTGCACTTGGCAGTATTGAGGATGCCCCAAATGTCTACAACGTGTTCTCTGTCCTCAAAGACCCTGCAATCTGGTGAAGAATAAGAGCTGGCAGAACATATCATTTACAAAAGGCTTTACACACATGACCTCATAAATTCCTTACAATAACCCTGGAGCATATAGAGCAGGGTACAACAGGTATTAATACCTCTACTTTACAGATTAGGAAATAGACTCAGAGGGGTTGTGACATACTCATGGTCACAAAATGAGTCAGCAGAAAAGACAAGGTTTAAACCAATTTTCTCCCACCTCACACTTCTGAGTTTTTCTCAATTTGAGTTCAAAAGATGGAGAAATTAATGTGGGCTCTCATAACCCCATAGTCCCTTGATCCTGATTTAATTATGTTCTGAAATTTATGGAAAAGTCTTTGAAAGTAGGGTAAGATTCAGTATGAGAGATCATTGAACCTGAGAAAGCAAATTATCATAGACCAACTTCCTCATGATGTTAGATGTTTCTGGAGCACAGAGGCCCAAGGAAAACACACACAAGTCTCACCTTCCTGGCTGTCTTCCTAGAACTGGCCAACAGGCTAATAGTTGCAAACATAGAAGAGAAAATACCCAAGGATTCCATAACACTATAGTTTTGCTGCTTTGCTGAAAACAAGATCCTGCTGGCATCTCTTTCATGACCCACCCTTTGGATTCAAGTTCTAAGAGGGGCCATCCAAAGTAAAAATATTTTGCACTTCAGTGAGCACTAGATCTGTGAGTTCCATGCCAGTCCTATGAATTTTCTCATAGCAATGGCCCAATTTTCTGCCTCTTTCCCATGATTCAGTGGAACTGATTTATCCAATATGTTAATATAAGAAATGTTTCATGGAAGAAATAATTGGAGGGATTTGAAGGCTTCTTTGTGATGGCGTCACTGGAATTAGAGAATTGGGAATGGGAAGCATCCCACCTACCCAGGAGGCAGCATAACTAAACCAGTGGGGGGAAAGGTGTTTGACACACCGGGGGATATCCAGAGACCTGCTTTACTGAAATATTTCACTCCTATTGGGGTCTTGTGGAGACTAAGGTCTTTGAACAAGGTAGACTCTAAACAGATCCCAAAGGCCAGGCTAACATGGTGGCCTTTGCTGATGGATGGTGGGCAGGGAGTGAAATATAAAGATAACCACAGACCAATTGGGATTACATTTTTCCACTCATTTTTATTTTCTACTCAGTGTCTGCAAAATTCAGTCACCTTCCCTGGAGAAATGCCACAGGAATTGGGGGGGGGGATCAAAAATAAATACAAACAAGGACATAATTTAAATGGAGTATCTTCTGAGTAATAAATAAAGAAATAAACACATGTACACATATTGAGAAAAGGGCACCAAGACCATTTGTTCATGGTCAAAGTAAATAGCTTGCTATCAGAAAGAGGACTCCTGAAAAACATCACTAGCTGCATGGGATTAGCCTGATGAATATTCACCACTGCTTTACTAGGAATGTGTTACCTTTGCTAATAATGAAATAACATCTGTAAAGTGCTTTAAAAAAGCTTACAATGCTATGGAAATGCTAGCTATTATTATTTTAATCACCACATTTTATTATTGTAGAAATGATCAGGGTTAATGGGGGAAAAACACAAGGTGGTGTAGCATGGAGAATGATGGATTTGGAGACAATCAATAAACATTTGTTAAGGGCCTACTATGTGCCAGGCACTGTATAAGCACTGAGGATACAAAAAGGGGCAAAAAAACAGTCCCTGCCTTCATGGAGCTTACAACTAATGGGGGAGTCAGCAAATCCTTGGTTTGAATCTTGCCTCAGACACTCACTAGCGGTACTGTGCTATTCGCTTCCTATCTCTGGTCTTCAAAATCTATATAAATCTATAAAATGAGGGGTTTGGACTTGATGGAGCCCAAGGGCTTTCCCTGCTCTAAATCAGTTGTCCTATAATTTATGGCAAAGCAGGAGACTCTGTTTCCCAAGTCATGTTCTTATTCCCAATGTTCATTTCTATTCCAGATACTTGAAAGCAACTAAGTGACATTCAAGCAGTGACTCCTTTTCTTCCCTTATTAATTCATGAGTTAAACAGGCAGACCTGACTTGTCCAAATATTCATCGAGTCATCTTTTCATATGCTATGCTCACCTGTGATGCTGTGGGATCCATGCCCACATTGGGGAAATTCCATTCAGGAAGTGTCAACCAGTTATCTGTATAGTCTAAAGCTTCCTTTCTGTACATCAATCCTGGCTTCCTGATATCTGTCTAAAATGGGCATATTTCAGCTAAGGAACAGCTGCTCTGATTGACTTACTTAGAGAAGGCTAGAAATCTATGTCCAAAGTTTGTGGAGGACTTTCAAATAAGATAAGATAAATAATAAAATAAGATTAGAACTTGCAAATGAATGCTGTACCTTAGTGTCTCTGATAAAGCACAAGGGGAACAAAAAGAAAAACAGCTAACTCAGTTTCCCATTCTTAAGTCATAATTCAGGGCATGTCCTCAATGACCAGTTCATGAACTCTCTGAGAGCTCAGATCAGATGCCAAACCACCACTGACTTGTCTGGACTTTGCCTATTCACAGAGCCAGAATACCACTTCTTCTCCATGACTTTTCTTTCATGAGTGGATGAGATTTAATATGCTGGTCCCTTAGTGGTATTGCTCTAAGAATTAAAAGATAACTCTTTGCACTAAGTAATAGACATCTTGACTATTTATTTCTGGTTTCAATCCACTCCTCCCTTTGCCTCCTTCTTCCAGAGTCAGCCCTTGGGACTCCTAACATAAATGAAGGGAGTTGGTATTTAAAGGTGAAAACTGTCCTTGCCAATTGCACAGAAAGACATTTCTGGCTGAATGGACTGGAAAAGACAATTCAGTGGAACAGGA